TGGGCTATAATCTTAGTTCATAGGCTCTTGCGTTTCTTATCTTTTCTGGGCCATATGACTTANGGGCTTCATTACGGCAAGAAATTATTCCGAAGACAGTATGGAATATTTTGATTCGAAAGCGGACGCACTCCGAAACGATAGAGTCGAGGGAATGGTGCTTTAATAGCTTGGGCAGCAGCACCCTCGTTTGCATCCAACACAATACCAATACATAAACACATTATCTGCACCAATTAGTTTCTCTCTGTACTTTTTTCTATTATATTGTTTACGGCTAAACCAGCGCCGCCGTCCTTTTAAAGAAAGATGCCAAAATTCGAATGAGAATATTGTGTCTGAACGGCCATAAGCATGCCATATGTGTTCGTTACTCTACGTGAATATCTGGCGTTGTCTGATACAACACGACGATATACACATAGATATACACATTATTATTTCACAGATTAGAATGAGATAACCAGTATTAAACTGACAGTTGTGCGATGGAATGGGGTGTCGTTGGGAATATAGAAAGTGAAATACTATAAGAATTAGTTTAGATAATCGTGACTGACTCAAAATAATCAGCTAACAATGAATTTATGATTCCAAATATATGAAAAACGAGGATAAATAAGAATTCAGCTTTTTGCAAGAATGGAACAGATCAACGATAAGAGTTGACAGAGACACTTGTACAACACGGTGATAGTTGAGAATGGAGCTTAAAACACGTGTGAGGACTGAACTAAAGCGACTTAGTTTAATTTTGGTTATGTGGTAAATTGCATGGGCTATAATCTTAGTTCATAGGCTCTTGCGTTTCTTATCTTTTCTGGGCCATATGACTTAGCGCAAATTGTTCCTCACGGGAATTATATTGAAAAAATCGGTTAATTTGCTAATGTCGTCAACAATTTGCTAATGTCGTCTTAAAAATTCTCAGTAAGGGAAAAATTCGCCTCAAACTCATATGAGGGACTACTGGTTGAACACAAGATGAGTTTGTTCCTTTTGAATACAACTCACTTGATTTGCTTTGATGGCACAAATGTTCCAATGCCTTCTGAAGACGATTGTAGAATTTGGAGGCATCATAGGCTGAACCGAATGAAAGCCCGAAACGTTGATCTTTGATGCGCCAATGATGGAAGGTTGGCATCGCGTTTCGATACGTGATATGTGGCATCAATGTACAATTCAATAGTACCTTAACTCTTTAGAGAATTAACAATAAAATTTTAAAAAAACTTTTTTAATCTGATATGGTTTGATGATTGTGTTCGGATAAAATTTTTGAATGCTGACAGATACGAAGAGAATTTAAACATAACAGAGATTTGAGTCGACCATCTCCTTTTACTATCAACATCAATACTAGTCTTCGACCAGCGAGAATCGCATCGCAAATTTAGCTCGCTTGTAATCTTTACTTACTCAATAATTCTTTAATACAATGGTATCAATGAGCTTATTGTTCGGTCAAGTAGAAAATTCGGCCTCAACGATATCTTACCGTCTGATCGGAGATTCGTTTTCCTTGTATTTGATATTCCCACTGTGGAGCCATGATCATGTTCGGTGCATTGAGCGACTTCTGGAAGAAAATTTTGAAATTTGTGAATAATGTCTGCACTTTTTGATTTATACACTCGAGGGAATTGATTTTGTTGAGTGGATGATACAATTTTTTGAAATGTGCGTCGTGAATTGCAATAGTTCAAAAGATGTACTCAAATGATCAATTGCGACAAACCTGTGAAAGTACTCCACTCCATGAGCTTCTTTTTACAGGATGTACCACTGAAGGGGATAGACATTGTTGACACGTGATCTTGAAAGAGACAACTAGAGAGCATCTCTTTATGAGTGCCTAGTCAACTGGGATAAGATTTCTAATAATCGTAACGAGCTTTTTCATACTGAGTATGATTCGTTTCCAACTTCAACTTAGCACATAATTTGATTCATTGAAGGGGATTAAGATGGATTAAGAAGCCAACTCCCCAATCAAATAATACTGATGTATAACGAAATAAAGCTCTACCTGTTGCAATNATGTACTCAAATGATCAATTGCGACAAACCTG